ATCTCTCAATCATCACTGCCCTTTTAAAGCTACAGAGTTTGATCATAAAACTAGGCATTTACACATCATCTTAAAGCAGCATTATGTTATTTTTGAAATTTTGCTCTCGGGGTCCCCCTACAGTTGGGAAACAATATTGTCTTCTACTCCTGTCGTAAAATCTGTCATGGTTACACTAGGGAATACACATGTGCATTTGTTGACAAGGAAGGAGTTCTCACATCTTGGGCAGACTCCAGTGTTGCGTGTAAAATGTCTTCATCTCAGGTATATTGGCATATATTTCAGTCTTATGAATACTGTGTCATGGGCTTTATTTTTTTCAAACGTCAAAATATCGCGTAGCTCACGTTTACAAGCCAGCGTCTTCACAGTTACGTTAGCCTACTGGCTACTGTTTTACATAATGGATATGCTAATGTAACCCCTCCCATAGATATCTATATAAAGGCTAGATATGTCGTCAACGCTGCTGGCCAATGGAGGTCGACGTCTGCACCTGGCGGCCATCTTGTCACAGGCAGCTCGCTCACTCGTAACATTGTGTTAATGGTACATGTACTATTTAAATGACCATAACTTGCTCATTTTTCTACCGATTTTCAAACGGTTTGTTTTGTTATAAACGTCAGTGATGTAGTTATGATACTGAAAAAGTGTATAAATAAATAATCATCCAGATAATTATAGCCACGTTAATAACGTTTGTAAGAAACCAAACCGTTTGTAAATCCGTCAAGATTTCAACGAGATAAGAGTATTTGTGTTCGTGCTGACCACTCATCTTACATCAGCTTGTCTGTGACAAGATGGCCGCCGGTGATGACGATGGAAACTCCGCCGTAACACATCTAGCCTTTATATACATATCTATGACCCCTCCACCCAGGTCCTTCTCGAAACGCTCCGAGCGGGCCTCGAACCAGGTCTCCGGCGTGAGAGTCGGGCGCTCTAACAAGGAGGCTAAAGACTAGAGCGCCTATTGAGATCAGAGGAGTGAAGTTTACTTGCACAGCAACTACTAGCTGGCCTCCGTTACACCGTGTCCTAACTACACGCGACGCGATAAAATTCCCGTGACAGCAAGTGTGTCTGTCCACACTAGACACGACTGTGAGACGCCACACATTCGGAACAGCGTGTGAGCAGAGTCTCTCTGTGAAAGCGCACTGTTGGCCCTCACTCGTATTAGAAAATGGGTAAGGACATAATCAAATCAGGAAATAACATTATTAAAAATCTAAACATTAACAAAATATACTCATTGACTAATTTTGTTATGAAGTACAGTTGTATATGTTTGCGTAGAATTCATTTTGAACGCTATATTCCATGCTTTCAAAATCTGAGGTAAATTATCCGTTTTCTTGTGGCACAGTGAGCTATTTTTAACTAAAAATAAATAATGTGTACTCATAACCAGTGTAATTTCTTCATTCTGTCAGCCGCGACGTCGCAGAAATAGGAACCGTTTCTAAATTAGAAACTTCGCGTGTCGCGTCTGGTTAGGACAAAAACTCTGATTAACATGGAAAAGATACTTTTTATCGCGTGTCGCGGCGTTGCGTCGTGTGTAGTAAGGACACGGTGTTACACTAATTCAATTCAATATTTGTTAGTAGATAATAGCCATGTCATCAATATTATAATATCAAGCTGTTTTCATCAGAGGAAAGAAACTCATACAGGTTCGCAACTTCGCAACAACTTGAGGGCGAGTAAATGATGACAGAATTTTCATTTTTGGGTGGAGTATCCCTTTAAGACATAATTTAGAGATGGTCATAACTGAAATGTATTTTATGCAAGCAGTACCGTTATAAACATCTCATTGATTTACATTACAAGTGTGATGTATTGAATATGATTTAAAACATATAAAAAACACAAGAAATGTGACTATTGTTTCATCTGTAAGTCTTTTATAGTGTAAAGATCTATCAATGTCATGTTTTGTACTGCTGATGTATTTAAGTTAACAGAGTTCTTAATAATTCATGTAAAATTCCAATAAAGTGTCTTTGTGGATCAATCCAGCATCGTTTGAGGGGGAATTGTGATGCATTAAACTAGTTTTACCGGTCAGGCATGACAGAATAAAACTGGTCCTTATCACTTTAAAATGAACTTTATCAAATCTATGATATTATTATTAATAAGATAAGTGTGGCGAAACATACCACAACATTTACACTGCTACCCATAAAACCCCCAAAAAAGAGATTGCACGTCCAAATATTGGGATGGAAAAAGAGCAGGCCAAGGTCTTGACCTTTAATATGCACTTTATCTCATCACACCAGTTCCTGTTACACTCATGGTGTGATGGACCTTAGATCCAGCTGATAAAACAACATTATTCGTAACTACAAGAATTTAGAAACTTTACTACACGAGCACTGAATATGATCAAACCTCTCGATTAAGCCTCTCTATTTAGATGCAGAAACATCAGGAACGGCTCATTCTTGTAAACTCCCGTAAAGTTGCAAAAAAATGGAAGTAGCGAGGGATATCTTAGTTATCGAAAAATATGCTGGGCATGTGAGGTAAAACCCCCCCCCCAGAAATATACAGTACATGGATAATATTTATTACTTTACGCTTTTATAACACACACTTAGAAAATAGATTTCATTCATTACTATAATCATAAATAAGTTACATCTGTATCAGCCATTACCAAAAAATTAGGAGACAGATTGTCTCAAAAACGTATTTGTAGTGTTTTCTGCTGGAAGATGAGTGTCTCGTTGAGCTGTATTTATCATGTTGCACTTTTCATACAAACACAACCACATGCGACTAACACTCAACAGGCATTTAACTATCTATACAACCACTTGGAGCAAGTGAAGAAATTATGTTTTCAGCCAATGTTGATTTAGTAACATTCAACTGCGCTAACGTCACGCTGACGTCCACACGCTATCGTCACGTAAACCAAGTTTAAAAGTCAAGTGAATGATATTACAAAACATGTCGAGTGCCTGGTCCTCCAAGTATACAAGTAGGGTCCCCGAACCACCAGGGGGCCCCCTTGTTCTCAAGAATGATTTATTTCAACGATTATAAAAACATGATGCCGCTGAGGTGAGAAGAGCTGTCACGTAGCATCCAAATAAGTCGAATCATGTAACCTTACATGTAAAAGCGTATTGAGTAGCGAAAGAGAAGGAGGCTTTCTGTCCAGCCGAGCCGAGATGGAGAGAAGCATGGACAAGTACAGACTACTTTCAGCTTCGGGCGTGTGCTTAACGGACAAATACACACAAAAGCACATTCAGTCATGTCTTCAGTGAACATAAAAGTAATTAGAGCCAGACCGATAAAGGATTTTGAAGGCCGATACCGATACAAATATTTGTTGGTTTTAAAATCCGATATTCCGATATATCGGCCGATATTATTATTATTTTTATTTCAGAAACGCGCAACAAAATATTAACAGATTTCCCTAACATTAGTTATTCATTCATGACTTTTAATTAAAATAATATGATAATGCATTTTAAAAAGAAACTTGTTTCTATTGTCACAACAGAACGGAGGAACATCAAAATATATTAAAGTTCTGATAAATAAAATAATAATTAGTCCCTACATTGCCTTATAGTTATAAGCTACCTTATAATTGCAATGTCAGCTTGCTTATCCCTTTACCTGCACTTTTTGACAACACTCATGACATGGTTGAAGCGTGATTCGTCCGTTTTTATTTTATTTTTTAAATATTCATTTATCGGCCATTATAACTGCTGATACCGATATTTTAGAAAATGCCTAATATCGGCCGATAATATCTGCCTGCCGATATATCGGTCTGGCTCTAAAAGTAACCGAATGCTTGTCATTGTATTGGTCTGAGCATTTGGTCTTAAAGCAACATGACATCATGACTTTTGTGTAAACACACACACGCCACTTTCAAGTCAAGTGACGTGTTGTCTATACACATTTTGAGCTAGCCGCGTGTATGTCTATGCCTTTAAATGTCTGAGTGATTCCCCGTGTATGTACACGCCGTTACATGTCCGAGAGAAATGAAGCAAAGTGTAGATCTACAACTGGGCAGCGATATTTTTTTTCCTAGGATGGTAGGGGAAGACTCATAAATGCTATTAACCCCAGTGACGGGTAGGTTTAGGGACGGGGTTGGGGTAGGTCATATATTTATATACAGTAATGTAACTAAGTTAACGGCATTCATAAACACGCTGAAAAGCGATTCTGTGTATTGATAGCACGCCAAACATGGAAATACGAATTGGCGTGTCAACGCCATTTCATGAGATCAGTCTGCTTAAAGTGACAGCAGCCTAATAAACCACTGCTGTCTGTCATTTAATAAAACAAAAAACAATGGCACCTCACTGAATAACTTTAGGAACTTGAATAAAGATTAATTGTATATTTTATTCATACAGTGAAGACTATGCAATGCTTTATTTATTTTTTTCCATTTGAATAGGCTACTTTATTAAATTTCCATATAGAAGGCTACTGGTAGTAGGCTAAATTGCTCATTTCATGTATATCTTTTTTCTGTTGTATTTGTCCAATTGTTTTATTTTTTCGTTGTATTAACTTTTCAACTCACTGTTGTTGATTGACAGTGAAACTGCTCTGAAAGAACAAATTAAAGGTGAACGCCCAGACAAAGTTTTGCTTAGGGCCCCAGAAGTCTCAAACAGGCAAAATCGTATATAATCATAAAACATTTGTGGAAAAAACTGTTTGAAATGGATCCATGTTGATCTATTGTTGCAGGATAAAACTAACAACGACTGTAGAAACTGTGGTTTTTGCATAAACTAGCATGGTCATTTTTTTGCAAAAGCTGACAAGGATTCGTATCAAATATCAGTCGTCAGACTCCTCACGGAGGAAATCGGTGCAAGAAAGGTTTTATCCTGAATTACCATTACCTTCTGGCAACACACGGCGATTACTGATACACACACAAACACACACACACTCCAGGCGAAGACGTAGCCTACCTTGTTTATCTTTTACTTTCCGTCCCACCTTCCTCCGCTCGCGTCCGCACTCCTCGCCGGTGTGTGATATGTTTCCTTCGCGTGCTTTTTCTCATGACAGCTTTCCTCCAGCCACAAAATCCGTTCTCCCTTCCCTTCCGCGGACACTTGAGTTGAACATTGGCTGGTTTCTCCGTTCTACAGAGCAATAACGCCAGCGACAGTGTGTAATGGTAACAGAGCGCAGAGGACTAGTCGAGAATCAGAGGAAAGCGATGCACCACTGCAGTGCGAGTGTGTGTGAATGCGATGCCAGCCTGAGTGAGACACGCCACGCTGCACAGCCTCACAACCTCTGCCTTGACCAACTGTAATGTGATGTTTTATTCATAACCATGGTCGTCACAACTGCTCGTTAAAATGCAAGAGGTGCTGCAAGGTCGACGTTAATCAAAAGGCGGATTCTGACCCTGAGAGGAGCTGTGTGGGCTACCATCGATAGCCTATATAGCAAAACAATGTAAATAAACTAAATACTTTCGGGTCGGTTTTGTTTTGAACGAAGTTCAGACTTACCGAGGCTTCAAAATATAGTAAAAACAGTAATACTGTGACATATTATTAATATAGAAAAAAAAAAAAAAAGATTTTTGTGATGTAACGCTGAATTTTCAGCATAGTCTTCAGTGTCACGTGATCCTTCAGAAATCATTCTGTTTTGATTTGCTCAAGAAACATTTTCTTATCATTACTAATGTTGAAAACATTTGTGCTGCACTGTAAAGATGCCTATGCTTTATCTAATCAACAGAATTGTGGCAACAGATTACAAGCAATATTATTAATTAAATTTAACAAATTGAGTAGTTAATAATTAATCAAATTATTCCTTAAAAGTTAACCATTTAAAATGAGTAAAGTTTACACAAAAAATTTAACAAAAATATTTCACTAACAGACAGACGTCAAAGATTAATTAAGAACTATTTATTTTATATTGCCAACATTGAAGACACCTGATGTTAACAAGCAGAATCACTGAAGGAGAAAACTTTAAAATTTTAAATAATTTTAAAACAAACCTAAACTAAATGTATGTTTTTCAGTTGTTGTTGTAAGTTTTACTCATTTTAAATGGTTAACTTTTAAGGAATTAATTTGATTAATTATTACTCAATTCTAAGTTGTTAAATCTAGGATTAATAATATTGCTTGTAATCTGTTGCCACAATTTTTTGGATTAGATAAAGCAAATTCATTTTTACAGTGTGCTTCATATTTTTTTTTTTAAACTGTGATCATTTTTTTATGATTCATTGATGAAAAAAAAATTCAAAAGATTTTTTCAGGCATGCAAGAATCAGGCAACAAAATTGCTTCACTGCTTGTCCTTCAAAGAAATAATAAAATATAATCCTATTAAATATTTATGCCAATGTCAAAAATGTTTTCCTTCACTAAAATTGTTCAAGATTACTTAATTCAGAAATTGAGACTGTTCATCACAGCAAAGGTGTTTTTGAAACATATTTCTTTATGAACTGCAACTGCATTTGTATTATGATCACATCACTGAGCACTGACCCTCATATATTTTTCTTCAGTCTTCAGAAGAAAGTCTGTCTGTGCTGAGTTTTCACTGTTACTTCATTCTTTCAGAGTTCAGGAGGATTGCAGTCTCGATATAACTTTAACTGGCATCAGCTGTCACAGAAGCCCATTGTTGAATGAATATTATGAAATGCATTAATCATTCAGTCCATCTGTTCTTTCCGTCCCCCTTGTGGCCCAAATCATTACATCAATCTCATTAAATACTAGTTTAATTTTCACTTTTGTTGTCCAGGGATTGCAAATTAAATCCTCACATCGGTGGGAGCAAATAAGGTAATGAGCTAATTGGGAAAGAATAAAGCGATCAGAAAGGCAACAGAACATGACGATGGCAGATTTCCTGGCACAATTAGCATTTAATCATGTAATACGTGTTTTCCACCAAAGCACTTTTTATCACATTTGATTGGGATCTTCTGCTAGAGCTTTTCACTCAACTGACCAGTGTTGGACACGTTGCTTTTATGGAAAACCACTTTTTTTTTGGTACAGCATGTTCCTGGATTTACATCTTTGTGGATCCTGCTCAACTTCCCAATCAACCAATCAGATTTGAGGGACAAGTTTACAGTTTATGTCAAGTTTAGGCTTAGAACCAGGGTGAAGTACTGAGACATCAGTGTTACCAGGACCATGCTTATTTGGCAAAATCACAGTGACCGTTAATACATGGCCATTTTGTGTCACTTTTTTTCTCACCTGGGCTGGGCTTCCTTTTATTTAATAAAAAAAAAAAAAAAAAAATAAATAAATTGCCAAATGTCAAGGCCCTTTTACACCAAAAGTGACATGAAAAAGCCTCAGACTGACGGAAATGCATATTTCCTCGTGAACAATAGAGGGCGAAGTTAAAACTAACTAACCTTTCATTCTGGATCGAAGAAGAAGAAAGTTCAGCAATTAAAACTAAAAAATGAAACACAAAAGTGATGTTTATTGAAAATTAGTATTGCTTAAGTGAGACTAAATACATCAAGTACTATTTGTGTGTTTTAAGATATTTAATTATTGCAGGTTAGTGTAATATTCAGAGTTTGCGTTTCACTGTTTTATTCGTTTTGAGGAATACTGCAAATGTTTTTGTTCAATTCTCATCGCCTCTGCGCCGACTCAAGTCTTCTCTCAACACGAGGACGGAGAGCGGTCATGAGAAAACTTGCATTACTTGTTTGAAAAAGTAAATCAGATATTTTGTTGTATATTTAAAAGTATGGTTACTTTTAGAGTTGAAAAAACTACATATCTTGCATTACTTGTAATGCGTTTCCCCCCAATACTGCAACTGACTTAAAGGTGCCATCTGTAAAAATTGAGGTTAAAATATCCAAAAAAATGAGCTACACGCATCAAAAGAATGAGAAGAAATAAGGTTGATGATGTCATTAAAAAATGACAAGTTATAGTGCTGCAGAGATATTAACCTGAATTAGCATGCTAAATTACTATTGACAACTATTATTGTCTATGAGACGACCTTTATAATTTAGTATTGAGATGTTGTTCATTTAGTCTCTAATCTCTGAAAATCTCCAAATGATCCACGTGAATCTGCGGCCTTCCAACCTTTTACTATTAGTTTTACTGATTAACATGCGCGAGGGAGACAGAGCAACACAGCGCTCGCCGTGTTGTTTGAAGACATGAGAGTCCGCGTGGCCGCGGAGGTATTTCTGGAGGTATACTGCCCCCATCTGGTATGGAATATGGTGTATGATTTGATTTTAAATGCCAGAGAGAATACACTCTAGAAAATGATGGGTTATTTCAGTCCAAATATGGACTAACCCAAATGTTGGGTTAAAAATGTAATTAGAAAATCTACAGTTGAAAGATTTTAAATTATATTTTTTTAACCCAATATTTAGGTTAGTCCATATTTGACCCAAATTTGGGTTAAAACAACCCTGCATTGTTTAGAGTGTATCATGTAAAAATGGACGAATATAAGATATGACAGTGAAAAGTGACGTTTTTAATATGTTGGCATAGGTTAATGGTCTAGAACTCATTGAACTAGAGTCATAGAACTCCTGATTTAATAAGAACAGCAAATGGTTCTAAGATCTTTAGATAAAATGCTTTATTTCTTCTCTCAGGTTTTCAGGTGTGAAATGAACAGCGCTTCAGATGCTAATGTCATCTGGCCTTAAAAAGAAGCACTTTTCCAAAACATATATTTTTATTCATCCCCAGAGGGAAGACCAAAGACTCTACTCTGCACTGAATCAATTGTCAAGTCAAGTGTTATTAAACTGACTCTTCACGGAAGGCATACCATGACTGAAACAACCAAAATCATAGCCTTTAGTTTTTAACTCCATTCAGCTGTGCATTTAAAAGAGTTTTGGGAAGTTGACTGGTCTAGGGGCCGTTTACACAACACCATTTTTTTTTAATGTGTTTTGGCCGTTCGTTTACTCATCGACTACGTTCTGGGGGCCTGAACACGCAAACTTTTGAAAACGGGTTTCAAAGAGCAAGTTTTTGAAAACGATACCGAAACTACAAAAATTCAAATTTGTGAAATCATCATTATAAATGAAAAAAAGTCAAATTTACTACATAGTGTTTTTTAAGTAAAGTTAAGTAAAATTAACAAATAATAATAAGTCTATTTAACTCGACCAATTAAAGTTTGTTGAGTAATTTAAGCCATGCTTTTATGCTTTACTAAGAACGTCTACAGTATTGAGTAACATATATCTACATAATAGAAGTAATGTGGTACCCGACCTCTATACTTGGTACAATAAACAATAATAATAACATTCTTTGGGACATTTTTGAGTATGAAAATGAATGTAATTTTGAGTAAAATGATCTACAGATGTACAAAACAGCAACCATTTGAAAAGTAAACACTATACAATTTAATTAATTATCAATATTATTATTATGCATGCATAGATTTTTATTTTATTTGAGAGCCTACCTGTAATATGCTTTTATGAGCATATTTGTTAATTAGTGAAAATATTTTTAAAGTGTTGAAACAATTCACTTATATGGAAGCTGGTTTCCGCCACTTAATAAAAAAAGTAATTGTAATAAAAAAAAAATGAATTGATTTTTTTTCTCAGATTGTGAGATATAAACTCACAATTGCGAGTAAAATAAAAAAGACATAATTGTGAGAAAAAAAGTCATAATTGTGAACTAAAAAATGTTTTTCCATAATTGTGAAAAAAAATGTCAGGAGAAAAAAACTCGCAATTGTGAGTTTATATCACGCAATTCTGAGAAAGTCACAGTTGTGAGATAAAAGTTTTTTTTGTTGTTGTTGTTTGTTATTCAGTGAGGCGGAATAAGGCTGTGTGTCCACCAAAGCGTTTTTCCACGCGCCTGGCGTATGTTTTCAATTATTTTCAATGGGAGCGCCGCGTTTTTGAGCGTAACGAGGCGCTGAACTTTTTTTTTTTCACGCTGAAGCACCGAGCGCCGAGCGCCCTGCGTTTTTTACTGGTCGCCGAGAGTTGAAAAATGTTCAACTTTGGATAAAACGCAGCACTCATCACTGTCACTTCTTACCCAGCCGTCCAATCACAGTGGAGGAGGGGCGGGGCTAAACCACACTGACCGACTGTCACAACATTCTTTCTGTACAACGACATTAACCAGCAGAGCTAACCCAACAAAATGGATGAAAAATACATTTTTAGTATGAAATAAACTATCTGCGAAATCCTTTATAAGTGAACTGTGCTGCGGATATTCTGTATCATAGCAACAAAACGTCTCAACGGAAAAACGCTGCGCTCTCAAAACACTCTCAAGCGCCCAAAGCACGGCGTCTTCAGTAGAGCGTATGGCATTTTCAAATGGCTAAAAACGCTTTGGTGGACACACGGCCTAACAAATAATAAATTCTATTTATTTCAACGTTTCTTTCTAAATAAAAACTAAACACATTTTTTTTTTAAAGAGATAAAAATTTCAAAAATTAAACAAAATG